TATGTACTACAACATGGATGAACCTTGAAAACATGCTAAGTGAAAGAAGCTAGACACAAATGGCCATATACTGAATGACTCCATTTGTATGAAATACACAGAATAGATCAATCCATAGAGACAGAACACAGACTGCTGGTTGCCAGGGATAGGGTGAATAAGAGAATGGGGAGAAACTCCTTAATGAGTAAAGGGCTTTATTTAGAATGATGGGAATATTTTGAAACTCAATTAAGGTGGTTGCATAACACTGTGAATGTACTAAATGCCACTGAATTGAGTTGGTCACTTTAAAATAGTTAATTTTGCATGTGAATTTCACCTCAATAAATTTTTTTAAAACATAAGAAAGTGTGGGGAATAAAATTACAATAAAAGATGAAGGAGTTAAAACCACGTATCAGTAACCACAACAATATGAGAACAAATTCTCAATATAAAGGACAGAGCATTTCATATTAGGCTAAAAATGTCTAGTTATATGTTCCTTACCAAAAAAAATATACTCACAAAGAAAGCGGAAAATCTTACTAAGATGCAATACCCCCATGACCCAAAAACCTCCAGGACATCAAAGGAAGGAATGACTCACTGGTGAGTGAGAATGGATAACATCTCCTTTTACAAGTCAAGTGGTTTTCAGTGACTTGCTTTCAACTAAGTTAAAAGAGAAATTAATTAGAGTTGTATTAAGAAAACAGTTTCATTTACAACAGCATCTAAAAGGAAAATACATGTGGGCTCTTTCCATAGTTTGGCTATTGTGGACATTGCTGCTATAAACACTGGGGTGCATATGCCCCTTCGGATCACTACATTTGTATCTTTGGGGTAAATACCCAGTAGTGCAATTGCTGGATCACAGGGTAGCTCTATTTTCAACTTTTTGAGGAACTTCCATTCTGTTTTCCAGAGTGGCCATCAACAGATGAATGGGTAAAGAAGATGTGGTAAATATACACAATGAATATCATGCAGCCATCGAAGAAATCTTGCCATTTGCAACAACATGGATGGAACTAGAGGGTATATGCAAAGCGAAATAAGTCAATCAGAGAAAGACAATTATCTTATGACCTCACTGATATGAGGAATTTGAGAAACAAGACAGGATCATAGCGGAAGGGAGGGAAAAATGAAACAAGATGAAAACAGAGAGGGAGACAAACCATAAGAGACTCTTAAGCTCAGGAAACAAACAGGGTTGCTGGAGTGGGGGGTGGGGTGGGAGGGATGGGGTGGCTGGGTGATGGACATTGGGGAGGGTATGTGCTATGTGAGTGCTGTGAATTGTGTAAGACTGATGAATCACAAACCTGTACCCCTGAAACAAATAATATATTACATGTTAATAGAAAAAAAAAAAGAATAAAACAGCCTTCTCCCGGTCTCAGACTTGAAAAAAATAAAAATAAATAAAATACAATACTTAAGAATAAATTTGAGCAAGGATATGTAAGATTTGCACACCAAAAACTACAAAACATTGCTGAAAGAAATTAAAGAAGACCTAAGTGAGTGGAAAAACATCTCACGTTCACGGACTGTAAAACCTAATATTGTTAAAATGTCAATATTCCCCAAAGTGATGCACAGATTCAATGCAATCCTCACCAAAATCTCAACAGCCTTTTCTTTGCAGAAATAGAAAGGCTAACCTAAAATTCATACGGACTTGCAAGGGACCTTGCTGTAGAACATAGTTTGGTGGTTTCATAGTAAGTTAAACGTAGGATGACCCATCAATTTTACTCCCAGGAAAGAAGTGAAATAGGTCTTCAAACAAAAACTTGTACATGAATGCTCATAGCAGCACTGTTCTCAACAGCCAAACATGGAATCACTCCAAATGCCCATCAACTGACAGATACACAAAAGGTGGACTATACATCAGTGGAATATCATTCAGTCATAAAAAGAAGTAGTGGTACATGCTACGACATGGATGGGTTTTCAAAACATTAAGGTAAGTCAAAGAAGCCACACATTAAAGACCACATATTGTATGATTCCATTTATATGAGATATCCAGAATAGACAAATCCATAAACAGAAAGCAGGTTAGTGGTTGCTAGGAGCTGGGGAGACTGGGGAGTAATTTGCTCATTAAGTCATGGCACTGCTCATTAAAGGTATGGGGTTTCCTTCTGGTGTGACGAAACTATTCTGGAAGGAGAGGGTGGCTATGGTTGTACAACATTGTGAACGTATTAAGTGCAACTGAATTCTACACTTTAAAAGGGTTCAAATGCAAATTTCACGTTATATGTATTTTACCACAATTGAAAGAGTGGAATCCCTCACCAGACTGCAAAAATGTAGATTCTGCCTAGTCCCCAGGGCTGTCACAAAGCCTATCTCATCCTACTGACTACCACTAATCACTGCGGTCTGCCCAAACCTGCTCCTTCTTTAAACAACTGTGAGTCCTAATGCTGGCACGGTTCACGAGAAGTATTCTATGCCTACCACTTCTTTATGTGTAATTACATGACTGTCACTGGAAGGTACATAATGCCACCAAATGAGGCTTATCAAAAAAGGTTTTTATGTTCCAGTTTCAAAACTCAGTAAGATCACAAGATGTGCATTTATCTACAAGGCATCTTTGCCCTACTATATCGGATGTCAGCAACCTGTAAACATTTTCAGTAAATGGCCACATAATAAATATCTTAGGCTTGCCAAGCCACACGGTCTCTGTCACAACCACTCAACTCAACCCCTATGATATGAAAGCAGCCACAACCACAAATGAACGAGCATGGCTATGTCCCAATAAAATTTTATAGACACTGAAATCTGAATTCCATATAATTTCCCATCACAAAATACTACTCTTGATTTGTTTCTCAACCACCTAAAAGTTCTTAGTTTGTGGGCCATAGAAAAATAAGCAGCAGGCTGTATTTGGCCCATGTACTGTAATTTGTTGACCTGTGCTCTGCATTTTTCCCTGATGTTAACGTATTCATTTCTACTATTTTACATGAAGGTACATTTTATGAACCTCACATAATCACTGTTAGGCAAAACTGTGAATAAATGAACAACTCACCTGGGATGTGATCATTTTCTGCTGGCCCTGGAAGAGTGTGGATAACCGTGAGGGTACAGCTGAGAAGGAAAGAACCAACATGAGATATGCCGCCAGCCTGAAAAACTCCACATAGCTGCTGGCAAAACACCTCCCAAGTGGAGATGCCTTGAGAAGGGACAGAAAGGATGACAGGAGGGAGCAGCCCATGCACAATTCCGGAGTGCTCGGACATACTAGTTTTTAAATGTAAAAACATTTGCATCTGGCTGGCTCAACTGGTGGGGCGAGCGACTCTTGATCTCGGCGTTGTAGGTTCGAGCCCCATGTTGGATGCAGAAATTATTTAAAAATAAAATCTTTAAAAAATGTTTGTTTTCTCCTGATTTACTAACAATGTATGCTTTAAAACAGAAAAATGTAAGCAACACAGTACATTAAATAAACAAATTAGGAAAAGCCAAGGAATGGAACATAACGCTTTCATTAAAACTGATGCTGAGCAAAAATATATCAAGTTGTAATGTTCATTATAAACCAGAGAATCCCACTAGGTTCTGAAAAAAGGGATGGGTTTTTAAGGGCTGGTCTTTTTTCAAAGGAAAAAAAAAAAAGTTTGCTTTAACTCAGTTTCAGGTATCTCAAACATATCTTTTGATTAAAAACAACAGGGCGCCTGGGTGGCTCAGTTGGTTAAGCAACTGCCTTCGGCTCAGGTCATGATCCTGGAGTCCCTGGATCGAGCCCCGCATCCGAGCCCCGCATCTGCATCCTGCTCCCTGCTCAGCAGGGGGTCTGCTTCTCCCTCTGACCCTCCCCCCTCTCATGTGCGCGCGCTCTCTCTCTCTCTCTCATTCTCTTTCAAAAACAAAACAAAAAAAAACCGAGGGGCGCCTGGGTGGCTCAATCGGTTGAGCGTCTGCCTTCGGCTCAGGTCATGATCCCAGGGTCCTGGGATTGAGCCCCGCATCCGGCTCCCTGCTCAGCAGGAGGCCTGCTTCTCCCTCTCCCACTCCCCCTGCTTGT